GGGTAAGTAGTATTTTCCTTTTTCATACTTGTCTGTCTTGATTTTAAGTGTTTCGTGGGGCCCATTTTGTCACACAAAACAATTGTTATCACAAAAAGGCTGAAACCACACACCCTGAAAACAGAGAGGCCATAACACTTGGTGAACATTTTTGTACTTCATGTACTGCCCTCTTCCCCTCGCAGTTTCAATTGTGTGTTCTATTGACAGATTTATATAAATGAGGGTGTCGTAAGATCAATAATTCTGTTGTAAAGTAGGCCTACAAACTACAGTTTCTTTTATTTGAATTTTTACTTGAAATGTGAAAGACACACTTATTATTCATGTAGTGTAGAATATTATGCTGGAAGTGGTAGCTTTTTTTTTCTTCTTGTTTTTCCTTATTTTTATGGAAATTTAGTTCTCTTTCTTTGCGGCTAAACTGTGAAAGAACGTTTATGAAGAACAATATGCACTGAGGCTTGTTTTTACTTTATTATTATTTATGAAAATTAAATTCTTTTTTTTCTGCTTAATAACACTGACATTGGGGCAGTCAATGTTGTATTCTTAATTCCTTGCTGTACTGCATGTTGAAAAAATGTCGGATTACATGCCAGAACAATTCTTCCGATTATATTTATAGCATTAGTTTTTAGTGTCACAGTAGGCAATATTGATGGTGGAGTGTTCATGTGAAAGAGGACATCATAGTCCGACTGGCTTTTTAAAGGGGGTTCTTTTAGTCTTTTATTATGCTTTTTCTTTTAAACTCAATTTTGTGTTTGATAAAGATTTTGTTAAATTTTTAGTTGATGTATGGGGGTGATTTAAAAAACTGTATCCCATTTTTGTAATATTTACTTTGGATTCAGTTGCTTCTTATACATAATGTTTGTATATTTTTAGCTTTTTATTTTACTCTCATTTTATCAGCATGTGATATTAATGATAGTCATTTTCCAATTGTCATTTTACTTTCAGGTTTGTTTGTGTTCTTTTCCTTTTTTAAGTTTTAGTTTTGTTTTGTTTGTTGTTGTTTTTTTCTGTAAAGCATTAAAACAAAGTGATGGTAGTCTGACCATGCTTTGATCCTGTTATCCTGTTTTGTTTTCTTTCGTAACATTTCTTAGTGCAGTCCTATTTCTTTTTTCTCCCTCTATTATTTTTTTAATGTTTCTGTCAGTCTTTTTTTTGTCTGGGAACTAAAAGAAGGTAAGTGTGTCAATGTGCTTATAATTGCACATATAATCAAACATTCCGTCATGTCACATCATCATGTTCTGGTTTATGAGGAGCTTGAAAAGCAAGAGCACCATCTTTGGTCTTTTCTATAAATCTAGACTAGATAGATATAAAAGTCGGCTGCACTACACAGACTTTGAATTTGAGATAATGTCCGAGACAACTTGTCTAGTGGATGGTTTGAAGGCTGTCATGGTTAGGTCCTTCTACATCTTTTCTTACCCCAGTCTCTTATTTCTGTCTGTCTTTTTCCCCATGAGGTGCTGAATGAATGTTATTGTGTTGATGTTGTTCTCTTTACTCAAATCTTGCGGAGACAGCATGCAAAAAAAGTGTTGAAAAATTCTCATTTCCAACTAAATGGGGTCCAAAACATTTTTGGAAGATTAAGATCAGATAAATAATGTTTACAGCACTCCTGTGTGATGTATTGTTCGTGTTTTTTATATGTATTGTTTGTGTGTTGTTGCCTTTGTGTAACAGAATACCCAGGTCCAAGCGTACAATTTTGCCACCATCTCGCTTTGTCTACTTCTTAGCATTCAGCCATAGGCCCTACATTATATCAACATATTTTATGTACCGTGTGAGTCACAAAAACAATTGTTCTTCTATCTCCATTTCCAAGTTTCCCAGTTTGCCTGCTGTCTTCTTTATGCGCTGTTTTCGCTCAGAATAAAGCTTGTTATTGTTTATTCTTTCCCAGAATGTCTTCAGTTATTGGTAATGGTATGATGGGGTACGATGGGGTATGGGTTAAATGCTCCTTTCATTACTTTCAACATTAAGGATTTTTATGAGGTGGAGGAACCTCCAAATTTATCTGCTAAAGTTCTGACAGGACCAAGACAAGCATATGCGGTATAGTGTTGGTGCTTGACCATCGCAAGCAGGATTTCGATCCCCAAGTAGGGAGAATGTGTTATTGAGCATTTCAATTTCAGTCTTTCTGTAGGAATGTTGTATCCTTCTCAGCCTGGGTTAGCCCTGAAATGCAGAGTCAAAGCCAGCGTCCTAAATAATCTAAATAGCGTCAATTGGAACATAAAGAAACACCTTAACAAAAACAAAACAAAAAAAATTTTTGGACCGAGAAAAGAATCCAGAGGGTCTGGAAACCTTGGCTTGTTCCCTTTTATTCATCAATCAATATTATATTAAAGTTTATCAAGAAGGCTACAGCCATACATTGCTGAAATATATAATTAAAACAGAAGTACAGGGAAAGAACGACAGCCGTCATGTGACCCTGCTAGTTCACAATTCTCTTTTTGTGACCTCTGTCCTTTTTCTTCTTCCATGTTCTTTGTTGACCAAGAACAAGTGAGAAAGCCTAATGAAATGCTAGTGACTTCATCAAACACACCAAGTGTAGTCATGTGTAAGGCCAATGTGAACCAGCTTCCCAGAGATAATAGGCCATGATCAACTGAAGGTCATGCTAAAGACGACATTCGCTATTCCTGTGCATCACTAGGCCTATACATAGTGCGCAGGCCTATTGATAAGCGTCATAAAGGTAGGCAAACAGCACACTGGCAATGCCTCTCTCTGACATGTAATCAATCGGCACATGTTCTCATGTCTCTGTTTTGTTTCACTTTCTTGAAGTATGCAAGACTTGATGATCTGCATAATAACCGACAGTTCTTTCTTAGTATTAAAGAATAGATGTTGACTACAGAACCCTTGAAATCCTTTTCAGTTTAGCAAAAGGAGTATTTTGGTAAATAGATAGTTTTCTTACAAAGACGAATAAAAAATTGGAGACCCTGTTTTCCTTTGGTTTAGCTCTGTTTTTGGATTTAACTGGGTCCATTGTACATGCACACAAAATAGGAATACAAACTTGTGTTGTTTTGTTTATTGCCATATAATAGTAATACAATATTGAAATGTGTTGGGTTCTCGTAACATTGAAACATTTTCCTGTTTAGCAAAATGGAAAAAAAAGAAAGGAAAAAATATGCTAGCCAAAAACAAAAATTGAGATTTGAGAACAACACACAACAAAATGACATTAGAATCCTTCTCAATAAAAATATAAAGCAAAAAATGTATTTCTGAAAGCCTGTGTGGCTTTCAAGACAGCTTTCAAGAACTTTAAATCTTTTCAAAAACTCACTGTTGTTGGTGCATTTACAACACAATAGCCAAGTACATACAAGCTTTTTCATGTACAGCTTTCTGTTAATATTAATTAGGAGGCTAACCAATACTAGTATAAAAAAGTAATTCTTTAAAAAACTGACCAAAAAAAGGATACAAATAATTTGTTTAAATTTGTGAACTTTTTAAAAAGTAAACAAAATCCAAAAGTGGGAATAATTTAATTACAATATGGATAAAAACAGAATATAATCTGAATTCCGACACAATTCTGACATTTATTTACTCCAATGTGTTTTTTAATTAAATTTCAGTTCCAGTAAAATAAAAATTGCTCATGCAGACTGGACAGATCTATTCCTTACTACTAACCTTGTACTGGTATATGTAGGCCTATATGCCTCTATCAACACATTACATGTATTAGTATTAAGATCATTAAAGAGACAAGATGCTTTGTTGATGCTTCGTATCAGGGCAAATCCGGGCTGAGTGGGATACAGCACATCAGCAGACAGGCAGAGATAGGGCCTACTCAATAAAAAGCTTCCTTATTCGTGAATTGAACTCGAGCGTTCTGTGTGCAATGACTAAACTAATAGCCTAACCATAACAACACAGATACGGGTTTGCAACTGATTAAACACAGCGGAGTCCACTTAAACTTAGCTTTTCAGTTTAAAAGAGGCTTCCTAAATTTAAAAAAAAACTAACAACCCAAAAACAGGACTTTATTCTCTTTTTGATAAACCATGATCCGTTTAAGCACATTCCACAGTAATTAATAAAATAGGACTCTTCTTTTTCCTAAATTACATCTACAGATCTATTCAGCTATAAAATCATCCCTAGAGTAGTGAGAATTAATAAATAGATCTTTATATATATTATATTAGACATGTGTGACTCATGATATCAACACTAATGGGAAGTTCCTTCAGACACTTTATAAACTTGGCAAAATAAGAAAAGACAAATTTCTTGCGAAAAAGATTGTTGGAACCCTTTCGTCATAGATTAGAAATTGACAGTCTAAATCGTAGGTGCAAAACTCAAACCTGTGAGCTGCATCCGGCCCGGCAAACAATGATATAACAGCCAATAATAACTCAGTAAAGACATCCTGTGAAAAGCTAAGCAAGCGACAGACAGAACTGGTAAATAAGTAGCATGAGAATAACAAGAATAAAAACAAACAGGTCAGTACAGAATGGTTATGACAAAGCATATCCCCCAAACGATTATTAAATTTATCAACGTCAGTCCACAATTTGGTCAACAATTTCAGGTACTCCAGACACAAACACAATTGAGCAACAAAGCCTTTGAGACGTTGTACAACAAACTATACCTTAAACCCCCCCCCCCCCCAAAATGCCTACTCACTATACATCACAGATTCCAGAAAATACCCTTCCACTACTTCCAGACCACAAATTTTTTATAAGGAATTATATTGAAGATTGATGTGGAGAGACATACTTGCAACAGTATTAAGTGCACTATAAACATACATATATTCAGGCAATTAAATACCCTGGTGGAGGAAAGTGGGTAGGGCTAGTCACGAGGACGGTTAAGCTTCTTCGTTCAACGGGTAGGGAAAAACAATATATCTTAAGTTCCCCAAATAGACAGATAGTCCAAAAAATTTTTATTCAAGCCAAACTTGCAAAGCAGGTGAGCAAACTATAACTAGACAGCAAAGCATAATACATAAATACACTCCCCACCACTTGTCTCTAAGAATAAGAACACCACCAAAAAAAGTCAGCATAAAATACAAAGCCAAAAAATCTCGTTCCATGATAGGTACAGTATGTATTTATTCAAGAGATTTACAACATCCATCAAAACCTTTTTCATTCAGCTGTTGTGACAGTTCTCAGGGGTTGCATCATCCTGGAAAGAAAGAAAGATTTTTTTTTTAAATGCCATGTGTGCATTTTTTTTTTCCAAACTTGGTACATTCTGGGGGGAAAAAAGATTATTTTGCAGTGGTTAGAGTTCAGATGACATGAGACATGTTCAACCAAAATAAATAAAACGACACATGAGCATTCAAGCACATATTTTCCTGCACATTATGTAGCATACTGGCATGTGCGATGTAATGGTTAGCCTCTTTGTGATTGCATGCAGAAGATATTAGTTTTGTTCCTAAGAGGGTATGCATTGAATGGGACATTAATCCTGTACAATAATAAATTTTATTCATTTAATTCAGAGAAAAGATCTCTGATATTCAACCGATTTTTTCAACAGAATCAAACCAGGTGTTTGTACATTCTTAAACCCATACAACACGGGACTGTTTTATGTTACAACAACAGAGGGAAGCGACACACAGGGAAGAAAGATGTACTTACCACTCCGCGTGTTGTCCTTCTCCACACACGTCCCACAGTTACTTAGCACCGATATAGGAGCAGGGCTTGCCTGCCTTCTGTAGCTGGTTCAGAAGTTCGTCAGATGACAACGTCGAGGTGACCAGCACCCTCTGGCTCTCTACGCTAGTCTCCACATTGCTGACATCCGCTGTGAGAAAATGTTACAGAAAAGGAAAAGGGTAACCATTCACAATCGTAATGTTTGACACCTCCATCAACAGGAATTAGCTTAATTAAGGCTAACCCCGGATATTTAATCTTAGCATACAGATGGACACTCAATTATAACATAATTTTCTCATGTGGGAATAGAACTTGATTTTTCTCCATGTCTGAGAAAGTATATATATAGATCTAGTCTATATATATACTACAGAACAAATGCTTGCTTTATATACGTGCCACAGCTCCTGTTCTTAATTTACAGGTATCTGAAAAATAAATTCAACGACACAGCTCCTCGCATTGTTGAAATCCAATACTCAACTAGAGGGATAAATGGTAAATATTTTATTGTGCAATCAGTTTAGTTTTTGGTTTAAGTAAGAGTTTTATGGCACTTGAAACAATGCCATACAAGTGCCGGAAATTTGAGGTGTTGCAAAGGAGTAACAAACATAAAAAAGAAGGAGGAGAGATAGAGATGACAGAAGTTTGATAGGAAAGAAGGAGCAAACCACACCAGAGCACCCGACAACCACCCACACTTTGCAATCAATACAAGTCAAATCATATGAGAAGCAGACAGTTTCAACCATGCCTACACAATCCTAACAGTAACAGACAGATGAATAAAAACATTTAATATACTCAATAAAATAGCGTCCCCATTTTGGAACAGCACTCATATACAGGAGCGAAGGCTGACTTGTTTGACAAGGTAATCAAAGTGAGATGGGACCAGATAGGGCCTGGAGATATCACACTCACACAAGTCACAAGAATTTTACTGGCACTGGAGGCGGCAACTCTGAGTTGTGAATGAAAACAAAATCCTGAATTCATGTTGTATGCATATTCAACCGCTAAAATAATCGGGAAGGTATTTCATTAAATATATATTCTAACTAACCTTAAATTTAACTTTAGATTTGAACACACGAACACCAAGGAAAGAAGCAAAGATGTCAGTGCTAGGCCTACAATGGCATGTTATACCAGACAGCTGAAACACTTTGGTAGAGCATGCCAATTATTAATTTTTTATTTCACATTTGGCTGTTTTTTGTCTAGCTTTTCGCGGCCAGGAGCCGGTGTCATAATCGAGGTCACGATCTGATTATAGGACGTTAAAAAGTCGAGGAAAAAAAACAAGCACTCGAGCAGTCAAGATATTATTAGGAGTTAGTTCCCCTCACATCTGTGAGGGAGACTCGACCAGCGTAATATTTAGCTTAGATAATCAGCGGGTGTGGTTAATTATAACTGTGGCTCGAAAAGGGTGAACAGGGTATATGCGACAATGAAACTGTTTTGACTGCTATGCACATGTTCCCTTCAACTCTATTGGTAGACTCTTCTAGCCTCACTTTAAGCTTACTTAATCAAAGCTTGTGACTGCTTATGGAGTGGCCCAATAGGGGCGAACAGGCTATTTCTGTGGCAATGAAACGGTTTTGAAGGTTAGGCATAGTCTATTGTTCATTGGTGATTATGAACGTCTTTTTACATTTATTTTATGAGGTTTACGTCTACGGGTGAATTTGTCTGCGACAATGTTTCAAAATTAGGAAGGGAAGCAGTGATTATTTGATTATATAGACGCTTCGCCTCTGCTCATATACTATATATAGAGGCAGTCAGTGGTGAAGAGCCCTAACCATTACACCACAGACACCAATGTGAGAAAGTTTTAATTTTAGTAAGAGCTGTACAGTACTTGCAAGACAAATACGTCATACAAGTGCTGAGATTAGAGAGACGTTACTAGATAGCAACATACAAAGAAGAGACAGAGGAGAGATAAGGATGATGACGTTTAATTGGAAAGAATGAGCAAACCAAAACAGCACCTGCTAACCACCTACTCACAATGAGATAGTGTATGCCAATGAACAGTTAAAATGTCTTTTACACATGTTAAAAATGTTGTTTTCAACCTAGAGATACAGTCAAGCACACATAACTTGAGCATGTCAAACTTAAATTCAAATTTAGCTCAGACAATATTCATCGACTGAAAAATATATATTTTTCTTTGTATCGGCAGCAAAGTATTCAAGAACATTCACTTGGTTGTGGTGCCAAACAGATCTCAAAAAGCCCAACCATACATGTGTTCCCTCACAACTCTCTCGAATTCAAAACACCCTCCACTCACAATGGAAAACACATCACGCATCGTCATCAAGAGTATTAGGTTACACATGAGTCCACCAGGCTCACCCCCACACAACATGATACATACACTGCTGGCATTGCCATGCATCACTGTACAATACCATGAGTGTGCACTGGGTGTTAGAACTTCCTTGAATCTAGTCATGTGAGGGAGGGTGCTGGGTGGTGTGGTGTGATTGAAGACAAACTGTGAGGCCCTGTATGTGGCTGCACGGTGTGTGAATTATTATGTTTGTATTTCTTATAATTGTGTGTGTGGTTGTTTGAAAGAGAAGGTATGTATTGGGAAGTGATTACACAAGAAAGGTATAGGTGGTGTGCTCTGACCAGTGTTGGTTACATCATCGTGATCAGGATCTGATGCAGGACCAATTTCTTTTTAGTAGTAGGGCTCATCAGCATCACTCTCTACCTTTCTCTTGCTTCAACACAGAACAAAGCGCATTCACTACCCATCCTTCTATTTCTATCCTTTTATCGTTGCAGTGTACTTTTCATGATGGCAAAGAAGAGAAAACTTAATTGTCTGATAATCTCCAGTTACTTCTCTTGAACTTCTTCAAAATCTCTCTTATATTTCGTTGTTATGGTTTCATCGAATTACAGACGAGTCAAACCAGTATGAAATTTGAGTGCTGCATGTTACATGCAGATGCCAGTTCCTGACTGATTTGAGAGGTCAGGCTATTTTATATAAAGAGTATGTCGGTAACACAGTGTTTTGGTGGGTCATCATTGGGGTGTGACCTTGCACAAGACATGATGCTAGACACCCCCATCCAAAATCAGGATACTGCACAGCCTGTTATACGGGGTGCCCACTACGGATGGGGTCAGCCGATCAGGCCAATTGCCAAACTCGATCGCCTCAAAAACAAACGTGTTTGTTTTCAGTTTTAGGTATCGGCCCGATCCAGCTGTAGTGGGCACCCCGTATTAGGGTGCAATATAGTGCATTATGTTCCTTAGATGAATTACTTAATGTAAACATGTATTTATGTGTACAGTTTACATTGTACACTTGTAAACCAAACTTCTCAACAGGAATTTTTTTTAAAGTGTAATTTATTTAATTCATTTTGATTTAACATAAAAAGAGACTCACACAGTTTTCCCAGAACTTTCTTTGCAGCGTTGGCACAACCCTCGCAAGTCATTTCCATCTGAAACTCATGTACCTGCAGCCAAAAGAACAGCAGAAAACACACAATTTGAGGTAAAAATATATATGTTTCAAGGGGTCTTTTTACATTCCTAACAACGGTATTAAAAATTTACATTTGTAAGTACAGTAGTCTCCGCCTAAGATCCTGGTGCTCGGGAGCAAGGAAATGCGGGATCTTATGCGAACCGGGATCTTAACCGATGAACCCAGGGAAGAATCTATGTTGATCCATGTTAAGGCTCACAATCTGTAAAATGGTCTCCCTCCACTCTAAAATAAACAGACGTGACCCCGTGGTGGGTTTATGACATATGGCGAGCAAAGAGTGGTTAACCTTGATGACCTATCACAGTGCAGAGTGGCATGAGGCGTGCCATTTTCACTTATTACCCTATCATGAGTCTCAAGATCTACGCTTATCTAGTTGCCCCTTCCCCTGTCGAAAATTTATAGCTTTCCATCACCGACCGAGTCCCCCCCCCTTGTCGTTACACACCATTACGTTGTGTACACACCAATAAAAATTCAGTCTGTCTCGCAAATTCAGGAGTAGAGGCAACTTCTGCAATGGTCAGGGAAGAGTTCACAGTTCAATGTGATCCCGCCTGGAGCAAACGTGTAGGCCCTATCCACCCAACGAGTGATGTAAGTTTAGGGGGAGAGCTCAGGTGTGAGTGCGATGTCCGGGGAAAACAAACCTGTCAGTCAGTTCACATCCCGGTGTGATCCCGTTGGGGGCAAACATTGTATCACTTCATCGAGTTTTACAACGTGTATGTGATCACATTCACAATAATGGCTGATCTTTGACGCGACGGACAGTTTATTGATCTCAACTTTTCACTCTTGGTTGATCGGCTGTCCCGCCCGGGTTTTTGTTCCGCAAATTATGATCTGAAATGCAGGATCTTAGCCGATTGTAGACCTTCAGAGTGAATCAGAGCGGGATCTTAGGGGTGACTTTTGTATAGTAAAATTTCTCTTTTCTTAAAACAGCGGGATCTTAAGCGAACTGGGATCGTAAGCAGTGGGATCTTAGGCGGAGACTACTGTATTCACAAATGGGCCTACATATTTCTATTTATGGAAATAGTTGGGCAATCTCATTCATGTTATTGCTGATGGTGAAAATGAAATAATAGATTCTTTAGTATAAGATATTCCACTCCCAAGCCCGAATTTTCTCTCAGCAGTTCCCTTGGTATTGGGTGACAAATATCACGGTGGTCCTGAGCCCACTCTTTTTGAAAATTTCTTTTCTACTTTTAGCCCCATTAGGTTGGTAGGTAGGTATTTTATCTAGTGTTAAAGGTCGTTAGCCCACATTACTTAAATAAAGCATACCGCACAATGTAAATTTTACAGTTACGAGAGACTTCCATGGGAACTGCATGAATTGAAATTATACATAGGACACACAATAACTTTTTTTAAAATTTTGTTTAAAACAAAGTTTCTACAATAAAATAGAACAGGCTGCACAAATAAATATATAGGTGTACCTTTTCTCAAGGGTTAAACAC